AGCTTAGAAAATGTCCAGAAAAAGGCACAAATCAGAAGAGCTTTACCTTATAAATACCAGAGGTCATATGGGACTTGGAGACTCCAGGTTAGAATAGACAATGGGGGCAGATAGCCTTAAAAATAAGGGGTGGAGGAGATGGGGAACCTGTTGCTGAAAAATATTCTCTTCTTACACATTTTCCTTTCCTTAAGCCCCAAATGCCTCCCAACAAAAGTAAAAATTAAAGATGGTGTTTTAGTCAGCTTTTTCACTGCTGTGACTAAAAGACCTGACCAGAACAATTGTAGAGGAGGATAAGTTTATTTGGGACTCACAGTTTCAGAGGTCTCAGTCCATAGACAGGCTCTATTTCTCTCTTGGGGCTTGAAATGAGGCTGAACATCATGGTGGAAGAGTGGATGATCAGAAAGGAGAGAGAGAGAAAGAGAAAGAGAGAGAGAGAGAGAGAGAGAGAGACACAGACAGACTCCACTCCAGATACAAAATGCATGACCTAAAGGCACACCCCCAATGACCCACTTCCTCCAGCCACACCCTACCTATTGGAAATGGAAACTGAAAAAACCAAAATAGTGAGGCCTAGGAAAATGGAATGAAAAAGAAAGCTATACATTGATAGCTTTCATCTCTCCCAGGATAAATCCTTTTCAGATGTGGGCCACAGGCGGGGAGAAACTGTTTCATCAAACCTAGAATGATAGTCTCTAGGAAACTGTAATCTCTTCAGATATAACTCCTCTCCAGGTGCTGGCCATGGACCCCCAACCCAACAACTCAATTTCCTGAGTGCCCAAACTATGACACTCACTAAATCACCCACAAAGTATATGAGCCTACTGCCCTTCTTTGTTCAGTGGCTCATTTTCCACCAGGAAAGTGGGTCCATTCCCGTAGTTGTAGTTCCGTTCCTGAATAAAACGCTGACATGGACATGGTAATGGTTGCAAAACAATAGAATGTACTTAATATCACTGAAATGGTTAAAATTGTGAGTATTATATTATACATGTTTTATCACAATAAAAAAAGAAAGTAGACTTCTTACCTAGAGTAATTTAAAAGGGCTACTGGATAAAACTAGGAATGTTAATGCGGGAGTTGGTTTCCTAGAGTGAAGTCTTCAATACTGTGGTCATTTACAGTGGTTGACTTGCTATTATTGGCTCAATTGTAGGTGAAGCCTCTAGTTGGTAAACTCTTGCCCACAAATATAAAGGAATCCAGTGCATTCTCTGTTGCATTAACCTTAAGAACAGACAATCAAGGAATCAAACAAATGAGAAATATGAAAGACAGGGACCAAGTTTAATAATTAGCAATAGTGATTTGAAAGGGAATATCTCATTAAAGAAACACACGAGAACTTTAAGGTCCTCTCTAGAATCATAAGAAAGACTTTAGCGAAATATTTTAAAATTAAGAACAGTGTGCTGTTAAAATAATAAAAAAAAAGAAACCTAAGAGTGTAACCAATGGAAAAGTCAGTAGAAGATAAAGTAAAACAGAAGTAACAAATCTTCTAGAAATATGATAAAAAGAGCAATAACAACAACAGCAAATAAAGCAAAAAAAAAAAAGGAAAATATTAGAATCAAGTGGAATGACATAAAGATTGATCTAAAGTTTGATATCCAGACAGTGGAAGTTTCTGAAAAAGACAACAGGGCAAGAAATTATCAAAGACATAATAAAATAGGAAAAACCCTGAGCTGAATTATGAGTCTTTGTTTTGGAAGGACCTACTGTTTGTTCAGCAAAGTAATACAGAAGACATGTTATCGTAAAAATTTAGAATACCAAAGGTAAAGAGAAAATGCTAAAGTTTTCAGGAAAAAGAAACAGTGAAGAGAAAAAAAAATGTCAACTTACAAATCAATAATAAAAATACAAATAACCCAATTTAAAAATTGGAAAAGGAATTGAATGGGTATTTTTTCCAAGAAGAGAAACTAATGGCAGCTAATATGAAGAGATGCTCAATGTCAGTAGCTGTCAGAGAAATGCAAATCAAATCCACAGGGCATATCACTTCACACCTTCTAGGATATCTATGATCAAGGATATAATAAACAGTAGTACAGAGAATGTAGACAAATTTGAAACACTATATTGATAGTGAGAACAGAGATCGGTATATTGCTTTGGAAAACAGTTTGTCAGTTTCTCAAAAGGTTAAATATAGAGTTATCATATATATGGCCAGAAATCAGCTAAGAAATTATATTCTATATTCAGCTAAGAGAAATTAAAACAAAGGTCCACAGAAAATCTTGTGCATAAATGTTCATAAGAGCATTATTCATAAAGATTGTGGATGTATCTCAGTGATAGACTGCTTGGCTCACATGCACAAACCCTGGGTTCAATTTCCTATACTACAAAAACAAAAAGGAAAAAAGAAACAGAAAAACAAAACAAAAAAGCAACTAAAATAAGGGAAGAAGGTAAATCGATTCTGCCTAAAGCACAGAGCTGGTAGTTCCTGCCTAATCAAGGAACACTGTCCATAATAGTCCCAAAGTGGAACTATTGATTGATGAATGGATGAACAAAATATAGTAGTATACACACAAAATGACTATAAATACAAAAGTAGTTAATATATACATACATACATATACATATATTTGGATATATGTATAAACTTGGTGGATATATATGAATATACAACAAATTGGATAAATCTTGAAAATATTATGCTAAGTAAAAGAAGTAAAAGGTTGTCAGTAACAAAAGACTACATATTTAAGATGCCATTTATATGTCCAGAACAAGAACACCTATAGAGATAGAACATAGCCTAGTGTTTGGCTAAGGATATAGGAGTTAAAGGAAAATGAGAAGTGACTACTTACTGGGTACAGTTTATTTTTTGAAGATGAAAATGTCAAGAAGTTCTTGTAGGGGTGGTTGCACAGGCCTCTGAATACTCTAAAAACCATTGAAGAGTACTAATATAGCATTATGTAAAAATGTGGATGTGTAACCGATGTGATTCTGCAATCTGTATTTGGGGTAAAAATGGGAGTTCATAACTCACTTGAATCTAATGTATGAAATATGTCAAGAGTTTTGTAATGTTTTGAACAACCAATAAAAAAAAAAGAGTTGAGGATGAAAAAAAAATAAATGGGCAAATTGTGTGGTGTATGTGACTTAGAAAAAGAATTAAATCTGAGAGCTGAAAAAATATCTCATATATTCAAGGATTTATAAACTTCACTTCCTAAGCATCTTTCCTTAGGGAGGGAATTGATAGTATCATAAAAAATAAGCAAGGAAAAGAAGGACATGACATTCAGAAAGAGGTGATGCCATCCAAAGGAGAAAGGACCTGAAGTCCCAGGAAGAGCAGGGTTCATCAGGCCTAGAGAGCATCCTAGAATGGAGGATGCTGGCAGGGAATTCTTTGTGTGCAAGGAAGGAAGAAGTTTCTAAGAGTTGAAATAAAGGACTACTTCCAAAGAGAATAAGAATATAATAAGGATTCAAGGGAAAACTAAGAAAGGCAATTGGAAAAGACATAAGACACTCCAGGCAAAACAAAAACATAATAGTGCTTGCAGTTTTATTATTTTGAGCTGTTGTTCATAACAGAGCCTATGATTACAACATCATAATAATATAAGCGCTACAGTTTCTCAATAAAGACAACATGTAAAATAATTTGTTGTAATTACAAAGCACAATGTAAGTAATGTCATCATTGAAAAAGTAAAATTAGAAATACAAGTGATAAGTGGGGAGGTAGAAAAGTGGGGGAAAGTGTGAAGCGAAAGACAAGAGTGGCAGATGTCAATCATAACAAAGGAGGCCCACAGATACTGTCTACAGTTACAGAATATGAAATAGTGGGTCAGTTTAAAAAATTATTTTCTAAAATCTTTTAAATCCTGAGATTCTCTGAGTTTAAATAAGAGACTATACTTCAAACAGCAATCTACATATTTTTCTTCCCTTACTGGTGGAGTTCAAGACCACACCCTACTTTCACTGTTACCAGTTGATCTTCCTTTCCCTCTTCATCTCTATTTCTCAGTCATTGACCTCTCAATGGCCAAATCTAATGGATTCATCTCTTTTTGTGACACATTTGGGTCATTTGCTGATGAAGGCATAATATGTGGTAGATATCCTTCTATGACAAAAAGAAATGATTTACATTATCATTTGCAATTGTTTTATGATATAAAGTTATCATCAAATACCTTTATTGTTAAATTTTGTTTCTAATTATTTATTTTTGTAATTGGTACTATAATTGTGTCCTAGTTTGTACAATATTTATTCAGTTGACCTTTTTTTTCTTATGACAATTTCCTTAAAATGTAAATTTCTGCCTGAAATTATTTGTATTTGAAAGTTTGAATCTACTTCCACACTGATCTCTAGAAATATTTATTGACCTACAATTCCATTAGCAATATATGATATTTCCTGTTTTCAGACACTTATCAATACCTACTAGTATCAGTCTTTTCCATGTCACCAAATTGCATTGTTATTAAAATTAGCATAGATAGTTTTTAGTAGGGTGTACAGATTTTAGTGCTTGATACTGTTATGGTTTAGATGTGGTGTCCTCCCAAAAGCTCATGTGTGAGACAATGTGAGAAGGTTTGGAGGAGAAATGACTGGGCTATATTCTTAACCTAATCAGTTGATTGATCAATCCCTGATGGGATTAACTGAGTGGTAACTGGAGGCAGGTGGGGTGTGGCTGGAGGAAGTAGTTCACTGGGGGTGTGGCTCTGGGGTATATATTTTGTATCTCTCTCTGCTTTCTGATCCACAGGTGAGCTGCTTCCCTCTGCTACACTCTTCCACTATGGTGCCTGCCTTATCTCGAGCCTTAAGGAAGGGAGCCAGCTGTCTCTGGAATGAGATCTCTGAAGCCGTGGTGAGCCATTAAATGAACTTGTCCTCCTCTACAGTTGTTTTGGTCAGGTCCTTTAGTCACAGCAGTGAAAAAGCTGACTAAAACAATACCAGGAGACATGGCGGCTCCGCTGGGTGGTATGTTCTCCGGGCAGCCGCCGGCCCCCCCGCAACCCGCGCCGGGACTCCCGGGCCAGGCTTTGCTTCTTCAGGCAGCGCCTGGCGCGCCGAGGACTTCTAGAAGCACCTTGGTGGACGAGCTGGAGTCGTCGTTGGAGGCTTGCTTTGCTTCTCTCGTGAGTCAAGATTATGTCAATGGCACCGATCAGAAAGAAATTCGAACTGGTGTTGATCAGTGTATCCAGAAGTTTCTGGATATTGCAAGACAGACAGAATGCTTTTTTCTACAAAAAAGATTGCAGTTGTCTGTTCAGAAACCTGAGCAAGTTATAAAAGAGGACGTCTCAGAACTAAGAAATGAGTTGCAGCGGAAAGATGCGCTGGTGCAGGAGCACTTGACAAAGCTGAGGCATTGGCAGCAGGTGCTGGAGGACATCAATGTGCAGCACAAAAAGCCGGCTGAGGTCCCTCAGGGCTCCTTGGCCTACCTGGAGCAAGCATCTGCCAACATCCCTGCGCCTATGAAGCAGACTTGAGAGAGGTCTGGCCTACAAGGTAGCCTCCTGCAGACAGTTCCTCCAGACCTCTCTGTGTGGACATGGCATTTTAGAACAGCTATTTGCTAGAGAATGAGTTGGTGTTAATTTTACCTCCACCTAAAAATTTCCCCAATTTTTATGAGCTGTTAATTACTTAGTACTTTATAAAGTGCTTGGTAGACAAAGTGAGGTTTCATTTTGTTTGTTTTGTCTGTAGCAAAGTTTAGACTATTAGTTTTCCACAGATTTTTTTTTCTTGGCTTTTTGCTTGTTTTTAAAATTTTATGTAGTTTATATATAGTTTTTTTTCCCCCAAATTGTTAGTTTGCTATGATCCGAGGGGGAAAATTAAAGTACTCCTAGAATGAGGGGAGAAGGAATTTGGTTTTTGGTCTTTTATGATTACTACACATCCATGGTAGTACAGAAAAAATACGTAAATTTGCTATCTCAAGACTTTGAACTACCTCAAGAAGAGGAATCTAATGCAACATTTGTAATGCTTCCATAGCAGTACAGAGTGCAGATATTTTGTAAATATGTCAGAAAAAGGGGTTCAAGTATGCTAGGTTAGCAGAGATCCTTAAGTTGATGCTGCCTTTTGTTTGGGTGAGTGTATGTGTTATGCGGTGTTTGCTGTGTTGAGGGAGCTGTGTTGGGAGCACGACATGCTGGAGGCCTCATAGTAATGAACCAGTGTGAGTAACAACAGACCCAGTCTCCCTAGCATGACGCTGGGACACAAGTGATGGACAAGGGGTCAAAGCTTGGTTTGATTCTTTTTCTTTTGAGTTTTGTTTGTTTGCTTGTGTTTTTGTTTTACTTTTTGGAGAAAAGGCAGTTTACATGAAGGAAGGTTCTTGTTCAGTGGATTTGATTCCAAGAGCCTAGGGCTTTGGGGTGGAGGTGACCTTCAGAGTGATCCCCAGCTCCTTCACCTCCACCAAGACCATGTGGATCCTCTGTGGGGAAGGTATTTTGCCCTCTTGTCAGAAGAGGTTTTCTATTTTCTGTTTTACGCAACTCTTAGATTATATCCCTCAGCCAGTACAAACACTCCTCTGTCTTCTGAATGGTCAGTAGGTCTGTGGCTGTGTCTTGGTTCATTTTGTCCTTTCCAACCCTGAAGATCCCTCCCCATGTGCCTCGATATCCACTCATGTTCCTGGTGTGGCCTGGATGCCACCTGGTCCACAAAGCCTCCACTCCATTCCAGGGCACAGGGCTTTTATTCCTTCCACTGTCTTGTGGGTTAGTGAATGGTATCTTTTTTTGTGCTCCTTGCTGCATTGTATGCTCATGGGAAATGGGCATTACTCCCCTGGAATATACAGGAACATGTATTTTGTATTCACTTTGTGTATACATATTACTCATTTTGTTTGTGACCTGTGAGGATGATACTTGGCTTGTGGACCTATGACCTGTGATGACTAGCCTGAGGCCAGCGTATCTCCCCTTGGTTGGAGTGTATAAGTCAAAACTTAAAAGTTATGTTTTACTCTTAGGGTTTTAACCTGGTCATCTCATGCCAGATAGAAGCTCTGATTGGCAGCTTTAGGTTTCTTGATTAAAAACCTAAATAAACGCCCAGTGTGATGGCACATACCTGTAATTCCAGTGGCTCAGGAGGCTGAGGCAGGAGGATTGCAAGTTCAAAGCCAGCTTCAGCAAAAGCCAGGTGCTAAGCAATTCGTGAGATCCTGTCTCTAAACAAAATACAAAATAGGGCTGGGGATGTGGCTTGAATGTCCCTGAGTTCAATCCTTGGTATCCCTGCCCCCCCCCATCCCCCACAAAATAAACTAAGTTTGAGGCAGTCTTTCAATGATAAAAGTGTTTTTGGTGAAAAGATCAGAAACTTTTCTACTTGGTGCTTAATGAAAATGTTTTGAATGAATGTAAATACAAGTTACTGTCACTTCTTTATATTAATTCAGAAGTTATCCGTCAAATAAATAATGATTTTCCAATATTGAAAAAAAAAACAAAAAACAATACCAGTTATATTTTTAGCCTTCTCTTATTCTTACAGACCTTGGAATGTTTGTCTTTTATTAAGTTATAATTGTGATTATATATGATATATTAAAATGTATTTTTTACTGTTTTATTTGGATTTTAACTTTGTGCTATTTAGAATTTATAAGTAGGCAACTCTGTAAACATTTTTATTTAGATTATTTGAATTCAGGTTCATACTTGGCATATCCTCTTTACTCTAGAGTTATAAAAGTATGAACCTAGATATGATAGTACTGCTCTTTTTGTGGATTTCATTATTTTGTTCATTTGATTTTGATGTCAGAAGATACAGTGTTTTCCAACCAACTTCTCTCCTCAGTGGCTTGACAGTTCTCTTAACATTGCTTATATTTTTAACAATGGTTGAACTTCAATGAAGTTTACTACATTTATGTGTTTTCCCAGTGTCTGTTTTATGTTTCTGCAATCTGTATTCACTAGTACAATAGTGTTTTAATTTCTAAAATGTTATTATCCTTTTTCAATATCTATTGACCAAATAACCCTTGTTGCATTCTTTTTCATATTGTCTGTGCCTGTTATTTTCTAATTATCCTTCCAGATAAAACTGAAAATTATTTAGTCAAAATTTTCAAAGGACTCTTTAGACTTTTGGTTATTATGCATAAAACTTAAGGACAGTGATAACATGATGATATTGATTTTTCTCTTTTAACAAGAACAGAAAGTCCTCTGTTTTATTGTGTACTTTTGTATCACTCAATAATGAGTTATAGTTTTCCTCACATGAGTTATTCATGTTTATGGGTATGTATGATATGAATGCACATATATGCACATATGTGTGACTCGTTATCGAAACAGTAATCCTTTGTTTGTCACACTCTTTTCTTTTTCCCAGAGGCAGTGGCTTCCAAATCACTTAGCTAATCCTTCTGGTATTTACAGCCTCATATGTCTTATTGACTTGCTCTTAGTTCCATCAGGGCCTGTATCTGTGGTTGGGCACTTTGTTTATGCGCCATGTTGCCTTGCCAGTCAGGGAAGTGGAGGTTAGTTTCCTCTATCCAATCTGTCTTCTGATGGTACATCTTCAATAGCTTCCTGTGATTCCTTCAACTCCCTCCGCTATTGTATTCTGTTTCGTATAACCCCTGACTTTCTATTTCTTGTGTTAATCTTCATTTTGGTAAAGCTCATGCTCCATTAACTTTCTGCCACTTTCCTGAGAGTGCTGGGCCTTAGAACATGCATTCCATTTACTATCTCCTATCTTTTATATTGTTTAGGTAGACACGTGTTTTATTTCTCTGAGAAATGAAAAAGATAAAATTACTTTGTAAGTTGACATTTATTTATATTTATCTTTTCCATTACTTTTTACTCCTAGACCCAGCTCCCTGGTCTTTATCTGGAATCACCTTTCTTCTCCCTAATGAATTTCTTTTAGAATACTTTAAGAGCAAGTCTATTAGTGGTGAATTCTCCCTGTTTCTGTTTTTTAGGAAGTGTCTTTATTTTGCCTTTAATTTTGAATAATATTTTAGTTGTATAAAGTTCTAAATTTCAGCACTTTCAAAGATGTCATGTCATTCCCTTAATTGTCTTCCAATCTTGAGCATCGTTGCTTCATTGAAGGTAATAATTTTATCTATTGAGGTTTGTAATATTTTTTCTTTCCTTTGTCTGCAGTTTTGTTTTGCTATGATGTCTCTAAGTCTGGTTTTTGTTTTATGTATTTGGGTTGCATTTTCTGAATTTTCTAGAATTTGTGGGATGATACTTTCCTCAGTTTAAAAAATTTTCAGCTGCTATTTTCAGACATTTCTTTTTCCTCCTTTTATTCTTCCTTACTTTTGGGGTCTCTGATTTATACATATATTAGACTTTTTATGTTAGAATTTTCTGTAGACAATTCTAGTTCACTAGTTCTCTTTTCTGCTATGTTTAGTACACAATTTAGACAAGTTATCATGGCATTCTAAATTTGAGTTATTGCATATTTAATGTTATGATCTCAAATAGGTTTCTAAAGAAATTCTAATTATCTGGTGAAATTCTCTATATTCCTATATAAATTCTTGATTTAGAATATACTCCAAATTCTTCACTATACTAATAATATCTTAGTGAATGTTTAATATCTCTGATATGTTAAAATTATTTATAGTCTCTTTTATTTGGATGGTCCAGACTTAATTCCTTAGTACTATAAGAATGCTAAAATCTTTGCTGTGTTTTGAAGAGCCTTTCTGCTTAGCTTCTGAGTTTCTTTTTACCTTTAGTGATTAGAAAACATGAACTGAAGGAAAAATAGCTGAGTATGAAGTTCATTGCTTTGTACCTCTTTCTCTTCTTTAGAATCTTGAAGTCCTGGCTTTCTCAGCAGGCACAGATTTCAGTTTTTTCTTTTTTGTCTCCACAGTGCCTAGGTTCCACTGGCTTTTATGCCGTTTAGTGCTCTTCAGCCTCTTAGTCATAAAAATTGTCAGGTATCCAGAGTGAAAAGCAGCTCATGAATGCTATTTAATAAATTTTCTGGATTTGTTTTTCTAGGATGTTGACACCTTATGTGTCATTGTTTCTATTTTATTTACTTGATTTCCTAATTGTTATCAATTAATTTGGGGGACCAGAGGAAGTACTAGTCCCCCAAATTGCTCCATTGTGGTCAGGTGTGGAAATTCTCCAAGGGAGCATGATGGCCTGATATAAATGTTTTGCTACTGTATGTGTATAAAAGAATGTATAAGGGAATTCTCCACATCTGCAAGAATGTGGGATCTGTAGATTTCACCAAAAGTGGATTGAAATGTTTGGAAAAAAATTACTGAAACTTCCAAAGAACAAAACATAAATTTGCTGCATGTCAAGTAGTATGCTGAACCATGTGAATGAAGTGATATATGACATTGTGTTAGGGCTTGTAAGTAATCCAGATGCCTTTTGATATATTCCATTTGATATATGGACTTTAGCAGCCACAGGTCTTCATATCCACAGTGTGGTAG